TCTCTCTCTCTCTCTCTCTCTCTCTCTCTCTCTCTCTCTCTCTCTCTCTCTCTCTCCCCTCTCTCACTCTCTCTAAAAAAAAAAAAAATATATCTTATTGGGGGTGGGGTTTTCGCTAGTGGTAGAGCACAGGCCTAGCATGTGTGAGACACTGGGTTCAATCCTCAGCACCACATAAAAATAAATAAATAAATATAAAGGTATTGTGTCTGTCTAGAATTAAGAAACTATTTTTTTAAATGTCTTACTTGTTTTCTGTTTGTATTTTTCAAGTGAGATAATCTTCATTATTAAGGACATATTCTATGCCCAGTACTTCACTATAGAACGTAAAGATGGTGCCTACTGGCAAATAACTTTTACCCTAGATGAGAATGTTGTACTAACATATAAGCAACAACTAGAGAACAATAAAATGTAAACTATCTTGCAATTTAGAAGTATAGTAGAAACTCAAAAGAAATGTGGACTTAGACTGAGAAAAGACTTCTTAGAGAAGGTAAAGGATGAGTTGGGCTTAAAAAGTGTATGGGATTGATTAGGTGAATTGAAGGAATGATAGACTTTCAAGTACATAAAATAACATGAGCCAAAGAGTGATCAGGTAGGAAGAAGTAAAGTACATACAATAGACTGAAGGAATAGAGTGGGCATTCAGGGACAGGTAGGGAAATTAATATAACCATGTTTGAGATTGTTTTCCTTCCTTTGCATAAGGTGCTCTCATTTCTAATCAAAGAAAACAAGTATTCAGATTGCCTGCAGCCCCTCAAGAGCCAAGATATGATGCTTTGAAGAAGAAGAAAAAAAAAAGCCTGTAAGAAATAATTGAAAGGAAACAGGCTTAAATAATACAAGTTTACCCTAAACGATTTAGGAAGTCTGTGGCTCTTACCAAATCAGGTAAGAAATATTGAGGGGAAAGGGTTGCATAGCCAAAATTCTATCAGGATCTTTTTTGGTAAATTACCACTATAGGAATGTCTGTGATCTAATTACAATAATTGTTAAGCCAAAGAGAAATGAGCCTTTTCCAAACCTCTCTCTGATTTTCATCCAAGCCTTAGCTCAAGTTATTTTCTCCTAAAATGTCCTTTCCTTCATTTTCAGTTGGCTAAATCTTCTTATGCCATCTACCTCCTACATTAAATTTTCCCAATTCTCTTTTCTTCTTTAGCCAAAATGCTATATCTCCCTTTTGTGCTTCTGTACTTAGAACAATTAATACATACTGCCTTATGAAAATGACTGTCATATTCTTATTGTAATACTCTAGAAACTTTGCATAGTGTCTTGAACATAGTGGGTGCTTGATAAATAAACATTGATTGCTGAAAATCAACAGTAATGCCATTTATAGTAAAATAGTATATTCTAGAAAGGCTGAATACCAGCTAGCTAGATACAAAAATACCTAGATTCTTTTTTGGTACTGTAGGAGTTCTYCAACTTTTACTGCATCACTTAACCAGGGTTCCTCATGTTCTGTCCTGCTTACTAACATTCATGCTTCAAGTCATGAATACCTTAACGTGTCTTTTTCCTTTGTTTTGTTTTTGAACCAAAGCCAGAAACTAGACTGGGGGTATTGCTCAGTGATAGAGTGCTTGCCCAGCACATCCTAGGCTCTGATTTTAAGCCTCAGCACCTCAAAACAATAACCAAAGCCTGAAACCTATGGGCAAGGGAATGAATAATCAGGAGTATGGTATTTTGATATCCCACTTGAGGGCCATGAATGATCTAATTGATAATTTCTAAGCTTTCTAATAAAATGTGAAATACTGTGAACTGATACCTATTGGCCTTTATTTGTATGTCCTTGAGAAGATAGGAAGTGTTAGTAGATGAAGTCTTTAAGTTAAAAAAGATACATTTTAAGGCTGGAGCAGAAAGATTGCAAGTTTGAGGTCAACCTAGGCAAATACATTGTGATGTATTTGTCAGTCAGTGAAGACTGTCTCAAATTTTTAAAAAGGGGGAGGGGATTGGAGATGTAGCTAAGAAGTTTTAATCCCCACCCACCCACTCCCCCCAGAAAACTTTAATGCATATCTGAAGTCTCAGCTGAGGCAGGAGTTCAAGTTCACCACCAGTATGGTGGCACACACCTATAATCCCAGGGGCTCAGGAGGCTGAGGCAGTAGAATCTCAAATTCAAAGCCAGCCTCAGCAGCTTAGCAAGACCATGTCTCAAAATAAAAATTAAAAGAAAATAAAGGGCTGGGGATGTGGCTCGGTGGTTAAGCACCCCTAGTTTCAATCCTTGTTTTGTTCTTAAAAAAACAAAAAAGGCAAAAGTTCAAGGCCAGCCTCAGCAACTTGGTGAGGCCCTGTCTCAAAATTAGGAAACAAAAGGGATCAGGGACATAGCTCAATGGAAAAGCCCCACTGATTTCAATCCCCGATAACACAAAATAATGACTGGGGATATAGCTCAGTGGTACAGAGCTTGCCTAGCTTGTGTGAGGTCCTGGGTTCAATCCCATTTACCACTGAATAATAAATGCTTTTCAAGATCAAATTCTACTGGTTAAAAATTATATATTTCCTAAGAAGCACTATTTCCATAATCACAAAAAAAAATGTATTGAGCACCTGCTATAGTTTTTAAAGAACTCTTTAAAATCAATGGAATGCTGTCAATGTTTACTTGGAACAACCTTATTGAATGAAATAGGCTTTACCATGCACTATCTTGGATTATGTGTATAGATACATTCTCTACTACTGAGCTATAACCCCAGCATTTTTTATTTTGAGACAGGGTCTTGCCAGGTTGCCCACGCTAGCCTTAAACTTTTGATCCTCCTGCCTCAGCTCCTGAGTAGCTAGGATTACAGGTGTGTGCTAACATACCCAGTTTGGACAATTTTATTAACACCAACCAAGTCATACCAAAAAAGCTTTCAGAAATATAAAATTATATATATATACACACACACACACACACATACACACACACATATATATGAAAATTGTGGATCAAATATGTAGAATTTATTTGATAGAACATTTAAGTTATATTTGTAATGGAATATGGATTTATTTTTATGTACCTTTAGAGTTTTTACATATGTTTTATATGTGTGTATGTTTATATAAGATATATATATGTGTACATCACATATTTTGTGGAGCTAGGTTCAATCTCATTGACTGAATCAAACCCAAGACCTCAGGAACACTAGGCAAGTGTTCTGTCACTGAGGTACACCCTCATCCTTTATTATATTTTTTGAAAAGCCTATTGTTGTTGGTTTTAGTTTGGCTTTATGGGTAGGTGACATGTTTGTTATATTTGCTATTTAGCCAAAAGTCAGGAATTCAACCAACAAATAACAGTTTCTATGGTAAAGCAGTTTCCCTTCTATCTTGATTTGCTTTATGAACTGTTTTCCAGGTGTGAATTTTGATACCACAACTGCCCAAAAAAAGGTGAGAACTGACTTAAACCACTGTTGCTTAGGCCATGTGGCAAAGGGACTGAGAGCAGAAAACAGAAGTATATGTAGAGCAGAGGGTCTTAGGGTCTTACAACACTCACTTTAGTAGAGGGCAATAACTGCCACATGAAATGATCCCCTCAGCACAAAACTGTAAGTAATTTTGGGGACTTACCTGGAATTTAGACAGTTGTTTCTGCTGTTGATAAAAAGTCATTTTGTTATTTGTGTCCTGCATGCTTACAAAACAAGTTGCATTGAATTGTCAAGTTGTGAATTTTCCTGATTTTAAGGTTAATATTCAAGCCAAAATTCCCCAAAAAGTAATCTGGGATCTGGGCCATAGGAAATGAGGCAAAGGTTACATGAATTTGGATAACTAGGTTAGAACTAAGTCATTGGGCCTTTGCCTTGAAGACTAATTAGATGACTTTAGTCTTGAAATAGTAAGAAATAGGGAGCCATCAGAGCCTCTGACTACAAAATAATGGAAATTGACTTTTTGGAAATTAAATGTGGCAAAACTATATGTAGAAACTTCTAAGAATAAAGTCTGGGGCCAAAGAAACTGGGCATGTGACTATTATAGTAATATAGAAGTAAAGAAAACCTGACTAGAATAGTGGCAATATGAATGGAGATAAAAGAATAAATTACATATTTTAAAAGAAATAACTGTAGAACATCACAATGGTTTGGATAAAAGGAAGATATAAAAATTATATACTTTCTATACTGGAAGAAAATTGTAGTCTCAATAAAAGAAAAAGGACAGTTGAGATGCCAGTTTCATCCAATTTTCGTGTTACATTTAAACTGGTATGTAGGGGCTGGGGATGTGGCTCAAGCGGTAGCGCGCTCGCCTGGCATGCGTGCGACCCGGGTTCGATCCTCAGCACCACATACCAACAAAGATGTTGTGTCCGCCAAGAACTAAAAATTAAACATTCAAAATTCTCACTCTCTCTCTCTCTCTCCCCTCTCTCTCAAAAAAAAAAAAAATAAATAAATAAACTGGTATGTAGGCATTCAGTGTGAAATGCCTTGATTAAACGTTGCTGGATATACAGAACTGAATTCTAACGTAAAATTCAGGAGAAGTAAACTTGGAAGTTATCGACTAACTGAAACTCTTTATTAAAGACAATGGATCCTTATGAAAAACTACATACACACACACATACATATACACATACATTTGTATAAAGAAACGATTTTATTAGGTATGTAATCTTAAATAAATATTCCTAAAATTGAATTGAAATTCTCCTTTTTTCCTTAGAGTATCATATCTCAAGCTTGTGCTTGTACTAAAATTCCTACACTTATATCAGTGTCGATGACTAAAATGTGTTAATACTCTTGAACTTTACCTTTTCCTTTAATAAAACAAAGATCTTTCAAAGTATTAAACTAAAGGAGAAATTGAGAACATAAGGTTCAAATAATTCAGTCAGTTAAAACTTTATGAAATTGACATGGCTTTAATTTCTCAAATGGAAAGGCAAGTAATTGAATTTGGGGAAGTATGTTGGTCTCTAGTTTCAAGAAACAGTGTAGCACAAAGATCTGGCAATCTAGCTGAGAAGCTGTAATAATAAACAGAAATTTGAAAGCCAGGAAGACAAGTTTTCCAAGAGTGCAACTGTGACATTTCAAAAAAGTTTTAACAAGAAATTTCAGGAGATGGCCAAAAAAAGGTTCCTTCTTTGAATACTTGTGTTTGAGCTCTGGGTATGGTGATAAACATTTATAATCCTAGCAAATTGGGAGGCTGAGGCAGGAGGATCATAAGTTCTAGGCCAGACTCAGCAACTTAGCAAGATCCTCTCTCATAATAAAACAGCTGAGAATGTAGTTTAGTGGTAGAGCACTTACCTAGCATGTACAAGGCCCTGCCTGGGTTTAACTCCAGTACTAGTACAAAAAAAAAAAAAAAAAAAAAAAACTATTTTTGATGTAGAAGCACACTTGAAAATTCTTTCTAAGGTCTGAAACTTTGTCTCACCATAAATCAAGCTTGCTTCTGAAGAAAACTAATAGCCAAAAAAAAAAAAAAAAAAAAGTTATGTGTGTGGGTGGGGACGGGGCGGTTGGCATTGCTTAAATTTTTGCAAGAGCTTAAAAAATGACCAAGAACTGGGATGTAGATTAATGGTATAGCGCTTGCCTTGCATGTGCAAACCCCTGGGTTTGATTCCTAACTCAACAAACAAAAAACACAAAGACCAAAAAAAATTTAAAAAGAAAAAATTAAAGTAATTGAAAGCAAATTGGCTTTCTAGGAGTGAAAACTTATGTTTTATAGAATTCCTATTTATAAAGTCAAAATATCTTGCTTTGTTTACCCAGATATTGTTTGTTATAAAAAAACAGCCTCCCATCATTACTCCACATCTTTAGTTGATTTTATTGTATGTAAGAAAACAAAAAGAGTTAGTCTGCACTTCCAAACCCAGAAACCTTATTCAAAACCCAGAAATCTTATTCAAAACCCAGAAACCTTGAGAGGCCAAGTCAGGAGGATCACAAGTTCAAGGCCAGTTTGGGCACTTAGCAAGACCTTGTTTCCAAATAAAATAAAAAGGGGTGGGGATGTAACTCAGTGGCAGAGTATTTTTCCCTAGCATACCCAAAGCCCTGGGTTCATTCCCCAGCACACTGGGAATGTGTCTTATGAATATAGCAAGATCTTTGGGCCATTTTACTTTAATCCTTGAATCCAAGTTCACTGAGCCTACCACCTCCAGTTGGGTTATTCAAAACCCAGAAACCTTTCTTTCTGTGTTTAGGTCCTAGTTACATGTGACTTACGTGCCTGGTCTGCTGCCTTTTAACTGACTCCTAAATCATGAGGTAAGTAAAGATTTAATACCAATTATAGTTATGTGACCTTCGTTCTGAACTTGTATTCTGTTAATGTTTTTAATTGCTAAGTACTCTTCTGGCATTACTTTTTTATTAGCAAATTATGTATATTACAATTTTGGCCAGGTTATTTTACTCAGCTTAAATGTATAATTTTGTGTTACTGTCCATGAGTTAGTAGTCCTAGATAGGTCTATATTTTCAACTCATTGAATGTAGAATTACCCAAGTAAACTTCAAATAGAAAATACCGTGAGGGTTTTTTTCTGTAGTCTGTTACTTGAGTCAGCTCTTTCAGAATGAATTTTATAACATATCCTCATCCATCTTTGAATCAACTATAATTCTTGTTTTTCCAAGTGTCTATTCACTGACACTAAAGCTTTCTAAATATTCTAGTTGGGTTCATTTGAACCTATTAGATACCAAGCTGTGGGGAAATATAAAGACCATTACAGAGAACAGTCCCAGTCCTTATCTTAAAAGAACTTAGGGAACCTCAGACATTGTGACTAGACTTCCTTGGGATTTGTTGTTGTTGTTTTATACAAAAAAGATAAGACAAGCTTCTCCATTTAGCTCCCTATTTGGCAACTCAAAGAAATTCAAATTTTCTAGAAGTGTTGTGAAATTATGAAAAGTAACAGGAACTAGAAACAGTTGCTATTTGATATGTTTACCCAGATGATAGGGTAGAATCATTTGTTTTAATGATTTCTGGATTTAAAGTGTTGGTATGAAATCTGAACATGCATAAGACTGTCCACCTAAAACCCCTGAGGACAAATCTTAGGCACATTGTAGTTTTGGGAGCTAAGTCCTGTTTATTTTTCCATGTTTAGTTCCTTTTATATTCTGTGCTATGCATACTACATATTTTCCTTTTTTTTTTAGTTGGACACAATACCTTTATTTCACTTATTTATTTTTATGTGTTGCTTAGAATCGAACCCAGGGTCTCATGCGTGCGAGGCGAGTGCTCTACCACCGAGCCACAACCCCAGCCCCCATATTTCCCATTTTCATCCATGTAAGGTTTAGCTTTTTTTGGGGGGGTAACTCTACATTGAACCCCCAAGGGTGCTTAACCACTGTACCACATTCCCAGCCCTTTTTATATTTTATTTAGAGACACAGTCTTGCTAAGTTGCTTAGGGCCTCACTAAGTTGAGGCTAGCTTTGAATCTGTGATCCTCCTCTCAGTCTCCCAAGCCACTGGAATTACAGGCATGCACCACTGTGCCTGGGTAGATTTTAGCTCTTCATCCATTGAAAGATTTTTGCATTTGATCAATTTCATAGTTTAGATAAATATACTAAGGCGTTTTATTTTATTTTTTTTAAAAGAGAGAGTGAGAGAGGAGAGAGAGAGAGAATTTTTAATATTTATTTTTTAGTTCTCGGCGGACACAACATCTTTGTTGGTATGTGGTGCTGAGGATCGAACCCGGGCCGCACGCATGCCAGGCGAGCGCGCTACCGCTTGAGCCACATCCCCAGCCCTACTAAGGCGTTTTAAATGATGAAGTTTTTGATGAAATTTTTCATAACTTTTCATCTTTAGTAGGCCTAATAGAAGGCCTAAAACTTGTTGAAGTGTAATTCTGTGGAAAAGCTGGTGGGCAATTGTGTTTTTTACTTGGTTGTTGCTATTCCAGAAATCCAAGTATTTTTAGTAGTATATTTTCATCTCTTTATATCTTGAGGTTTTGTTTAAAAACAGTAAATTCAGTGCCATATTGATCTCTCTAATGGGTTCTTCAGTGTTAGGAAGGTAATAAAATTTTCTAAATTTCTTTTTGAAAATTTCCTCCTAGTAGATTTTACATTATGAAACTTGATGCTACAATCAATTTCCTCAGCAAACAGGAGGTTTAGAATGCTCTTAGCAAATCTGTTGTTACTCCACCACAGTCTCTGGTAATGTATATCTCTGTAATTTTTGATAGAAAATCAGTACAAAAGCTTATAAAGCAAAGTTGAAGTTTGTTAGACGTGAATGGTATACAAAAATAATTGGAAACAGATATGATTCCCTAAACCACATATTTCTCAAGCTGCTTTCTTTCAACCAGTCTCCTAATTTCACGGCTGCCCAAATTATTTCTGCCTTTGCCGTAACCTAATTGTGACTTACAAATTAAACTCAAGAGTAAAATTCAGCAATAGGTCTTCTTTACAGAAAATCTTTAGGAAGAACATCCAATCACAAATTATTGAGGCTCAAGAATCATAAGCTAGCCAGCTGTGGCAGCACACGCCTGTAATCTCAGTGGCTCAGGAGGCTGAGGCAGGAGGATCTCAGTTCAAAACCAGCCTCAACAATTTAGCAAGATTCTCAGCAACTTAGATCCTGTCTCAAAATAAAACAAAAAAGGCTGGGGATGTGGCTTAGTGGTTAAGCACTCCTGGTTTTAATCCCCAGTATAAAAAAAAAAGAATCATAAACCAAAGTCTTTAGTGCCTTGTTAGAAATGAAACTGCAGGTGATGGAAGGAAGCTGACACAAATATAACAAGTGGAAGAACAGAGGAAGCCCAACTATCAAGGATACCATTATGACTAATAAAACTAGGAATCCAAGAATGGTTTACACCTGTAATCCTAGCTACTTGGGAGACTAAGGGAGGAACACTGCAAGTTTGAGGTCAGCCTGTCTTAAAGTGAAATTTAAACAAGGAAAGGGCTCAGTAGTAAAGCACTTGCCTAGTATGTGCAAACCCTGGGTTTGATCCCCAGCAACACACACACACACACAAAAAAATAGACTGACAAATCTTTACATGTCATTGTGATGATATATACTTGTGTGTTCAAAGTGGAATGATAGGTTTTTATGATGCTAGAACAAGGTTTTTAGTGTGGATGGCCAAGACAAGCTTTTGCCATTATTTTCTTATAACTTAAAATAGATTAAGGGGCTGGAGTTGTGGCTCAATGGAAGAGTGCTCGCCTAGCATGCACGAGGCACTGGGGTTCAATCCTCGGCACCAAATAGTGTAGAAATAAAGATATTGTATCCACCTAAAAATAAACAATAAATATTTTAAAATTTTTTAAAAATAGATTAAGAGCTAATTGGTGCCTATATGAAAATGTCAGTGTCCCCTCTCCCCCAAACAGGCAAAGAGTTTAATTAGCCTGGTGGTGCATCTAACTTATCCCTATTTTCTTCAGACTACATTTGCCTGCCTCCCTTCCTAAAACAACACTCATTTTGGGTGTGGGAGGCATGTCGAGACATTCCAGTTATAGTGTCCCATTTTAGTTTGGAGTGAACGTAAAGGCTTACTGAGATATTAACAGGTGGGTCTCTAGGTAAGATAATCTCTGAAGTATTTACTAAAATAAGAAGCTCTTCATGGGGCTGGGGTTGTGGCTCAGTGGTAGAGCACTTGCCTCACTTGTGTGAGGCACTAGGTTCGATCCTCAGCACCACATAAAAAATGTATAAAACAAAGATATATAAAAGAAGTTCTTCCTACTCAAAAATAAATTTTCTCTAATAAATAATAATTTTTAATTGTGGTAATCTCTCCCCCAAATCTCTGCACTATGAACTCATAACCTTGGAGAAACTATTTCAGAGACTTAAGTTATTTTAATTTAAACCCATTGTCAATATTATAATTGTATTTATGGTAAGTTCTAGAGGTGCAAGAACTTTTTTGTTCTGTGTAGTAAAAATCTCAAGAATAGTATTTGGCACATAGTAGATGTCAACAAACATTTATTATATGAACGTTATGTATGATTCCATAGGTAATATATTTCTATTAGTTCATTAAAAACATTTATTTCTAATCTCAAAATTGTTTCCTGCAAATGCAAATGACTAAGAACATATTAAAAGCTGCTTAAACATTTCCTGTTTTATTCCTTGCCAAACTATAGTTAGAATATTGTTTGCTTCGGTATTTTTTTTAACTACTTATCAGTTAATGGTTTTATCAGCAAAGTACTATACAGAATTAAACAGTGTTTATGTATAACTATGCCAATTACACCCAACTAGTTAAATCACATGCATGGCAAAAATATATATAGCGAAACAAAAATACTGTGCCTACCGTATAATGCTAATATGGGAACTATACCAAACACATCACCCCCAAAATAACTAGGTTGACTTTTCTGCAGAAAACAAAAGGTAAGGGCTGCAAAAAAGAAAGACCAAAAAAAAAAAAAAAAGAATAATAAAAACTTATTCTAAGGGAATTTCTTCTTATATAGACCATTATTTTCAGTTGTTTTCCCTAAAATTACTAATATTAAAAGTATGCTTTTTCACGATACATAACCCTTTTTTTCTTCTTGGTTGGTACTGCAGATCGAACCCAGGGGTGCCCATCCCCACACCAGCTATATCCCTCAGCCCTTTTTATTTTTCCTTTTGAGACAAAGTCTCTATAAGTTGCCCATGTTGGCCTTAACCTTGCAATCTTCCTGCCTCTCAGCCTCCTGAGTCACTGGGATTATAAACATATACCACCACCACATCTGACTTCTACTTAATCTTTTGAAGTACTCTTAAAGAGTTTTTAAAATTTTTCCCTACAACCCAGAATACAGAAATCTATAAGTAACCACTAGAAATGTCAATTTTACTAAGTGGAAGTATATCACAAGAAGGGTGGGGCTGGGGATGTGGCTCAAGCGGTAGCGCGCTCGCCTGGCATGCGCACGGGACTGGGTTCCATCCTCAGCACCACATACAAATAAAGGTGTTGTGTCCGCCAAAGCTAAAAAATAAATATTAAAAAGTTCTCTCTCTCTCTCTCTCTCTCTCTCTTTCTCTTTAAAAAAAAAAAAGAAGGGTGGTTGAGCAAAATTTGTGTCTGTATGAGAGAAAATAGATCAAACTATACTGAAATAAGTCCTCCTAATCCCTGATAAACACACTACCTTTCAGGTGTGGTTTCTTCCTTTTTTTTCCCCCTTCTTCTTAAATACATATATATCCATGTAATCTGGTAAAAATTAAGTCTTCCTCCCACACTAAATCCCACTCAACCATTTTCATCTCCAAAGGCAACCTGTATCTTTGCTGAAAATTACATGTATTTATTTTTTTAAAGTATATGTCTTTTACATAAATGGATTCTGCATATATTTTTTTTCTAGTTCGTGCATTGTTTTGCACCTTGCTTTTGCTCCCACTGGTAACATATTTTGACATTCCTTCCTTATCAGCTTATAAACCACTACTTCATTCTTTTTAATAACTGCATATTTCATTGTATGAATCATAAGTTACCTGTTCCATATTGATGAACTTTGAGCTTATTTCTAACCTTTTGCTATTAGCATAATATGCTTTCTTACTTGAACGTAAGCTACTTGAGAATAAGAATTTATGTCTCTTTTTTACAGTACTGGGGAGGAAACCCACCCAGGGCCTTGCACATGCTAGGCAAGAGCTCTACCATTGAGCTACATCTGCCTTTTCTGAAATAAGCTCTTTCTAAGTTTCTTAGGGCCTTGCTAAATTGCTGAGGCTTGAACTTGCGATCCTCCTCCCTCAGGCTCCTGAGTCCCTGGGATTACAGGTGTATACCACCACACCAGGCTTAATTAATATAGTTTTGTTGTTGTTTGGTACTGGGGATTGAATCCAGAGGGACTTTACCATTTAGCTACATCTTCAGCCCTCTTTAGTTTTTTTGGCGGGGGGAGGTGAGGGGAGAGTCCTGCTAAATTGCTTAGGGCCTCACTAAGTTCCTGGGGCTGGCCTCAAATTTGTGATCCTCCTGCCTCATCCTCCTGAGTCACTGGGATTACAGGCACACACCACCATGCCCAGTTGAACACTTTCACTCAACAGCCTTTAACTCCACTATGTGCAAAGCACATGCGCTTTTAATGTTTCCTCTTCTGGGTATTTATCCTAGTATTTAAAATGACATACATAACACCTATAAGAGAAACTATTAAATCAAAATATGCATATTTTAAATGTTGGTAGAGATTATTCCAAAGCTTTTCACTAAATTTAGGTATTGATTAGTAACAAAGGTTTTTAGTGTTTTGATTAGTAACAAAGGTTTTTAGTATTTTGTAGTCCTTTACACAAAACAGTATAAAAATTGTTAAGGTAGATCAAGAAGTTCCATTCAAGTAAGAAAAAGTTGTAATAAGAATTGTGATGCATTCTGCTGTCAAGTACTTAAAAATAAAAGCAATTTTTAAAAAGTTGTTTTTATGATGGCATCAAATCTATACAGAAGGGTTGCTGGGGGTATAGGTCAGTTCTAGAATACATGCTTGGCATATGTGAGACCCCAGGTTTGATCCCCAGCATCACCAAAAATAAAGGAAGAATGGTTAATTAATATATTTAGGTAAAAAAAATGACCTCACAGAAAAGATTCAGTTGAAAGTGCGTTGTCCATTTTCAGCATCATCACTGTTACCAAGTGCCTACTACACGCCAAGCAACATTATTGAGTATTTTATCTCCTTTAATCCTATCCCCATGTATCCTATGAGGAAGACATCTGTTTTATACTTAGTTAACAGATGAATTTGAAACAAGAGAGAGGTTAAATGTCTTGCCTAAGTCACACAGTTCATAATTGACTGAGCTGGGATTAGAAATAAGAAGTCCAGGCTATAGTTTAATTGGTAGAGTGCTTGCCTAGCATGCACAAGTCTCTGGGCTCAACCCCCAGCACCACCAGGGGAAAAAAAAAAAAGCAAGTCTAACTCCATACCCATCATTTTTAAAAACTATTTTTAGTTGTAGATGGATATAATACCTTTATTTATTTTTATGTGGTGCTAAGGATCAAACCCAGTGCCTCACACATGCTAGGCAAGTGCTCTACCACTGAGCTACAATCTCAACTCCATAGCCCTTTTTATGTGTGGAGGGTGGGGCTGGGGAAGGTACTAGGGATTGAATTCAGGGGCACTCAACCACTGAGCCACATTCCCCAGCCCTATTTGTATTTTATTTAGAGACAGCGTCTCACTGAGTTGCTTCACACCTCACCGTTGTTGAGGCTGGCTTTGAATCGCAGTCCTCCTGCCTCAGCTTCTCAGGCCGATGGCATTACAGGCATATGCCATCATGCCCAGCCTCCATA